TAAGTTATGAATTGTAGCCTGTCTGGTTTAGAGTCTTCACTTTACTGGTCTCCATAACAGCAGTTCTTCCAGTGTGGTCCATGGGGCCCTGGGAGTCTCCCCTGAAAGGGCAGACTATTTTCACAGTAACACACACTTTATTTGCCATTTCATTATGTCAACATTTGCACTGATAGTACAAAAGCAAAGATGAGTAAAACTGTTGGCATCTTAGTATAGAGTAGTTAACTGTATTCACTGCCATGCACTTAAAATGTTTGTTTGAAGAAGCAAAAAAATTATTAATTACATTAAATTTCAACCCTTAAATACATGTGGTCTTTCTCATGTCACTGTGACAATATGAGAAGATGCATAATCCACTTACATCACATATAGCATTTGATAGTTGTCTCAAAGAAAAGTGTGTATAAGATTAAACAGTGAATTAACTCCCTTTTTTTCATGGAATACCATGAGAGATAAACTCTGGTTTTCAGCCTTGGGCATTTGGCGATGTTTTCCCAAAAATGACTGAAGTAAACGTAGCACTTTAAGGAAAACAACTTAAAGTATTTGTTGCCAATTGATAAAATATAGGTTTCAAGCAAAAATTAGCATTTTTGAAGACTTATATCTGCCACTGTGAGCTTGACAAATGTGACTCTTTTCTATTATGAACTATGTCAACATTTGAAAGATCTGTATAACTCAGTGAACCAGTATTTTCCAAATGACTAATGCATGATAATAGAAAATCATGCATGGATAAAAGATACATTCAAAGTGCAAGATAGACTAACAGATTTCAGTGTGACAATCAAAAGTTCATTGATAACAGTTTTGGATTCCACATTGCAATACTAAAATCTTTAAAAAGCTAAATTGTCAAATGTTGGTGTAGTATCAACAAAAGGAAATCTATAATTACCTGAACTTAAGTTTCTGGAGGACCATTAACCTTCTGCAAGCCCACAGGGAAGACTGTAGCACTTCTCTTTCCCTGAGATCCTCCAGAAAGGAAGAAGAAAAGATAATCCTTGGGGGTAGGGTAGAAACCTATTGTGTGATGATCACAAGTATGTAACAATGCTTTATATAACTCTAATATATATAATCCACACAAACCCCCTAAAATGGCACTAATAAGGGAATAGACTCAAAGAAGTTAAGTCAGCTAGCCACTGTCACAGCTATTAGAGCACTGGAGCTAGGATTTGAACCCAGATTTGTCTGTATGTAAAGCTGATTCTCTTCGTAATAGTACTGAGACACAAGAGGCGGCTACAAAATACTCTGATACTCCTTCCTAGACCAGAGTTTCAAGGTTTGTTATCATTTGTAGCATGATACTGGATCCTCACAGTGCCTGCCTTTCATTCAGGTGCCAGGAAACATCTGCCTGAATGAATGGGTGTAATTTACCTGCACATTTTACATGCTTCTCAAGGTGTGTGATTAACTCATAATCCATCCATGACTTTCACCCGTAATCCTCCTTGTGGCAATTGCTTTGCTTGCAAGAAAATTAAGTAGACATATCTAGCTTTATGCATGGTTTTCCCTCTCTGAACTCTAACATTAAAGCTCAGCTTCAGGAATTATTCAGTTTCTACTACATTTGCCATTCTGATTGGGAACCACCAGCATTCAGGTATTCACCTGGAACAAGGCATTTTGTTCCAAGGGTTCTTCACTTAAAAGTAAGCACCCTAGCAATAGTTCATAATGGAACTTTTTAACATTCTCAGAATGTTTGGCATAGCTGTGAACACATATTGAGCAATCAATAACTATTACAGATAATGATGCCCTTAAGACCAGGACATTTAGCTTTCCCATTCAAAGGGGGTGAAATATGCACTCTTACTATAGTGTACTTTTGGTTCCTTCTGCCATGTATCCTTATCCTTAATAAAAGATGTCAATTTCATATAGTTTTCTCTTGAGTTCTGAGTGTTTTATTGTACCCTAGCCCTTTTAACAATATCAAACTTGCAACTGAATACCATTTAGCATTCATCCATTTTTTCCAATGGTGTTCATTATAGGCCGTCTTAGTCCTCCTATTTGTATGACAAAAATTGATTTTTTTCACCGATATCTGTGGTACATCTGGCAGCTTTCCATGTACTCAGTTCTTATCTGATGTAGCCCAGAATGACTGCCTGAAGGGATGCCAAAAGCCTGATTAAGATTCCAGATTTTTAGCTACTGTATTATCAATCCATTTGTTCATTTCAGTTTTACTTTCCCTTGTCATCTGTAGCTTACAGTTGAGTGACCTAAACATGTTTTGCATATATTCCAATATCTAAGAATTTGGGAAATACGGTCCTAGGATTTAGACTTAATACCACCTTCCACTTATATAATACTTACTCATAAAATCTTCAGTGTTTCTGAAAAAGAAAAAGGAACATGAACATGTATTGAAGCAGGAACTTGTAGTAGATTTTCTATGTGTTATCTTATTGTCACAACACACACACAGGTGATATCCTTCCCAGTTTACTGATGAGGAAACACAGGGGTCAAAGTGGTAGATACCTATCCAAGGTAACAGAAGCTGTGAAGTGGTACAGCTGGGATCTAAAACATGTCAACTTCACCATAGATAGGCTCCCCGATCAACCACCTGCCACGGCCTGTATGACCACATCCAGGGGTGATGACATCATTTTCACAGAGTTATTGAGAGCTAAAACTACAAAGTACTACAAACTATTATTTAAAATATAAATACATACTATATATGCATATGTGTGTATATATAATTCCTTGGGGAAACATTTCAGAATACCGTCCTAACCTTTAAACAATGCACTCATTTTCTGTAAACTAATATACAGACAACTGGTTGGTCCCTAAAAATAGCTGTCAGGTGACAGAGATTGGCTGAGCAAGAATAGGAGTATCTTCAGAATAGAAGCCAGAGAGGTTTTTGCTTCCCCAACACATTGTTGCCCCATTCCCTGTTCCAGGACCTTCCTACTTCTCTGTAAAACTCTGGCCCAAAGCAGCTCCTCTACATTAGTCACAAGTTTCCATTAATCAGGGTAGCCTGTGCTGGACCTACAGCAGAGTCATTTCAGGTTATTCTCTTCTGTTACAGGCTTTCAACATGTAGTCAGTCCACTCACCCAAATCTAGCAGGGAATCAATGCCTTGTAATACGGAAGCATCTAGAAATTCTTCTTAACAGTGTTCAGAGAACAATGTGAAACCCTGGGGCCTTTTCCCAGAATTAGGGTGGTGGGAATGCTGTCCTGGTGACTAAGGCTGTTAGGTAAGCAGACAGTTGGCAAGATTCAGGAAGCTTCATTTGAGGACAGAATTTAGGGGGAGCATTTGAATTTACTGGCTTAATTACTTAAGGGAGCATTTATAAAAGAAATTGTCATTCTACAGTTATTACCTTTTAACTTTTATTCCTAAAGAGAACAATAGCAACAAAATATGTTACTTGATAAATGTAATTCATAACCAGACTGATAACTAGAAAAAATTTTTGTTACTTTGCTCTGTGAATTAGTTTAAATATATTTGTAATTGAAATTTACTACTGTTATTGGCTGAAATAAAAGAAAGATAATAAAGGATAACAGAGACAACTAACACCCAATTTAAGTTTATTTCTAAGTGCCATCTCTTTTAGAGAAAAGGCAAATTAAGAAAAGTTTAGAGAGAGGTACTAGTATGTTTATGAACTTGTATAGATGATAAGCAAAACAGACTTTAGTATGTAGAATTCCAGAATCAACAGGTTGCCAGCATCCATGTTTTTGAAGATTTGCTTAAGAACACAACCAAAAATGGAATAGGCAGTCTCTAATTATAAGCAGAAGGCTACAAAATCATTTTAGCTGCATAATACAGTTCTAGTTCTAAAGTCAACACGTAAGAGGAAAATTCCTTAGGAAGATACAACACTGAAAACCATTGTATCATGTAATATGAAATGCAATAATTAATTTTTCCTCCAGTAATAAAAAGATCACTGTTTCGTTGGTTTATAAAAATACATCTTTATCAGCAAATGTGGCAAAATGTTAAGAATTGGTGAATATTGGTAAAAAGTATATATCTATTGTACAATTCTTTCAACTTTTCTTTGAGATTGAAAATTTTTAAAACAACAAATTATCTTTTAAACACCTAGTAATCACTAGACCGGCACTCTTTGTGGTGAGAAAATGAAAAATGTTAGAGACTAGACTAGTAAAAGAAGCAGATTCACATTTCTATCTTTTTCTTCAGGCCAAAGAGTCATAGAGTGGAGTGGGCAGAATGGAACTCACTTTTGAAAGCCTAGTGCTTTGTCCAGTCTTACTACAAGCCAGACAGGAAGGTTATAGAAAATGTTTCTGGATCAGTCTTGTCTGAGTCATATGAAATTGTGGTTTCAGCCAAGATGATATTAGGAATTGAGAGACATGGGACAAAACTTTTAAGATTGTAAAAACATTTTGACTCTAATGGGAAACATGGGTAGAATTGTAACGACACTTGATTGAATTTTAAAAGATGCCTGTATAAGATCTTAAATTAGGAAAAAAATTATGTCCTAAGCAATTAAAGGCATAGGAGGCATCTTTTTAGGATGATGGAAATATCCTCTCTCCTGATTGTGATAGTAGTTATGTGACTATTTAACGAAAGCCATAAATTATAGATTTAGAAAACAGTCAGTGTTATTGTGTATGACACCTTAATAAAGGTGATTATAAAAATAAACAAATCCTAAGCATCTAAAAAAAAAAAAAACAAAAACGAAGTGAACCAGAACCACACCATTCTATTTTGGAGACACTTCAAAAGAAATGACCTCATTCTTAATTTCGTTTAAAGAAGAATATAACATGATTTGAATATATTTAGATAGGATATTTTAGTGCCTGCTAGCACTTGAAGCCAGAGTTCAGTGTGCGCATTCTGACTATGAGGTGAGAAGCTAAGAGAACTGTATTTTGATATTTCTTTGACAGTTAAATCATAACACTGTTCTTCCCCTTCTTTAGCCCCAGCATGAGACCAGATGTAAGCTCTCCTCCATCCAGCTCCTCAACAGCAACAACAGGACCACCTCCGAAACTCTGCCTGGTGTGCTCTGATGAAGCATCAGGATGTCATTATGGAGTCTTAACTTGTGGAAGCTGTAAAGTTTTCTTCAAAAGAGCAGTGGAAGGTAGTGTGTGTTTTGAAGAGTTTTATTTTTCCTCTACTTGGTTTTCATTTCTCAGGGTGGATTTTGAAATTTCCATTATATGCAAAGCCCATGAAGGCTAAATATCAGTTAAGAGGGGAGAGAAGGGTGGCTTCTAGGTCCTCTAATGTGCAGTAAATTATTTAAAACAACAACACAAAAAGATCTAGAATAAAATAGAAAAGTATAAGTTGATGCCTGGGAGTTTGCTCAGGGAGCATAAGGTAACACTATAAGAAAGTACTATCATATGAAATGATGGTGTTAAGTTTGGGCATAACATAATGTTCATTGCGTTAGAAATATGGGCTTTAACTTCCATAAGCTAATAGATTTCAAAGTCACCACCTATACTGGCCTGGCAAAAATGTGAGACACAGTGAGAACTGCGACAGGAAAAAAAAAGACATTCATTTCATTTCTTATTCATTTTTTTTCTATTAAGCCAGGGCACTGTGCTAAGTGGTATAAATACCAATAAGACCTGATCCTTACCCTCTGGGAAGTCACACTCCACTGAAGTGAAAGATGAGTTAACAGTGACAAGGTGCAGAGATTATAATTCGGAGGAGGGAGAGAGAAACTCGGCCTGAGGAGGTCAGGAAAGGTATTTTAGAGAAAGTGATTTCACTATATAAATGTTGTATTAATATAAATCTTACTTTGTTATGGATTCAGACTGCTGACAGGGCAACAGCATTATCTTCCTAAAGGAGAAATTCATTCCACAGCAAACCTAGTAGAAGAGAGTCTAAAATTTCCTAATATTACCAGTGACTCCTCTTGGAAAAAAAATAGTCATATAATTTAGTTATTTCTAAAGTTTGAAAGCAGTGTGGCCTAAAGCTGTGATTATATTAATTTTTAAAGAAACATATTTATTATTCATTCACTGTATGAGGATTATTATTTGTCTCATGTTGTGTTTGCATATCCATGTGAGTTAGATGAGTCATTTTCTTTTGTTTTACTTTTTAATACATTAGCAAATTATAAAATTACTCATATTACACCACAGAGGTTACAAGGATGCCAGCTTTGGCCAGTGTAGTAGTCCCACCTATTGATTAGAGTCAAAAGTAAAGCCCAGCCCTGCCAAGTGCAAAGCTCCAAATAAAGTGGATGTTATTTAACACATACGCAAAAGACGGAAGCATCTTCGTGTCCTCACTTTACTACTCGCTTTCTTAACTGTCTAAGTATTTCCATGATATAAATGCAGTGATAATAGTAAGACAGTCCCTGACTTAACGATTTTTCAACTTTTATGATGGTGGGAAAGTGATATGCATTCAGTATGCTCCTCGACTTACAGTGGGGTTGCCTCCAGGTAAACCCATTGTGAATTGAAAATATCTTAAATAGAAAAATGCACTATTAACTTATAATGGGTTTATCCGGATGTAACTTTGTCTTAAAGAGCATCTGTACTGTATGTAATAAATACTGACAAACTGATTTTTGAAGGTGAATTTCACAATGAAGCCTTAAATATGGCTATTAAAAATGTTTACTTTCCTCCATTTGAATTAAAATTGTTCTTTAAAACGGTACAAATTCAGATGCTTATAGAGACCAACTATGTGTCATTTTGGCTAAATGTAATACAGTTGTGGGGAGGAGGGCACGTGTTAGTATTAGAGAGTGCACACATGCCCTACCTAAAAGCATCCAAGTGCAATTAGAACAGAAAACAAAGCTAAACATACCTTCCTTATAGAAGACCAGTTCAGGCCATATACCCTCTGTGCTTAATCCCTGCTTTAAAATTAAATTCCTATACTGTTTTTAGGTAAAATTTAATTGACTATTAGCTATACTATTAAATGTTTGTTATTTAAGTATTTAAGTGAAGTATGATGGTGAGATTACATGATTAATAAGAAAGGTTAAATTGTAGAGTATGTTAAGTTTTTGCTCTGTTTCTTCCTGTATTTGGATTTTAATGTTCTCAAAAAGCCCTTTACAGCTCTAAAATTCTGCAGTCCTTTGATAACCTAACTCAGCAATTCTTCTGTTTTTCTATCCAGACACAATAGAAATATGCCTTAAAGCCCAGATACATATTTTAGAACACTTTCTTAAACAATTATAAAGATGCAACTTGTATTATTTACATCATACACTTAGGACTCCATTCTTAATACCTGCTAGAATTATAGGTTATCCCTCAAAATTGGCATAGTATAATATGGTTATTAGCAAGTTGTTGCACTTTATTTGGAGCTTTGCACTAGGCAGGGGTGGGCTTTACTTTTGACTCTAATCAACAGGTGGGACTACTACACTAGCCAAAGCTGGCATCCTTGCGGTCTCTGTGGAGTAACGTGAGTAGTGTTATAATTTACATCCCCCATAACAAATGATCCAAGAGAGTATGTGATCAATGCAGCATAACTACTCTCTTTTATTACCTGATTTCACACGTAACATGCCATCACTTCTGCCATATTTTATTGGCCACATAGACCAATCCTGGTGAAGGACGAAAAGGGACTACACAAGATCATGCATTCAAGGAGGCAGAGATCACTGGGGGCCATCTTGGGAGGCTGGCTACCACACCTACCATAAATAGAAAACCAGAATTACTTGCTAAAAATAGATTTTAACCACACAAATAAATACCATGTAAACAAAATAATGTCACAAAATTTCAGCTGACTTGAAGACTCATCTTTCTATTAGATAGAAAGGGAACTTACCAAGTAGTAGAAGACATAGGAACTCCAAAATAAGATGTCTCATTGTCTTATCAGAAGGGTTGTCAGGAAAATGGGCTGGGCACTGTGGCTCACACCTATTATCCCAGCAGTTTGGGAGGCCAAGATGGGAGGATTGCTTGAGACCTGGAGTTTGAGACCAGCCGGAGCAATATAACAATACCCTGTCTATACAGGAAAAAAACAAATTATCCAGGCATCGTGCCTGTAGTCTCAGCTACTCAGGAAGCTAAAGAAGGAGATTCAGGCTGCAGTGAGCTATGACACACCACTGTACTCCAGCCTAGGCGACATAGCAAGGACTTGTCTAAAAATAAATAAACAAATAAATGAGTCAAGGAATGAATGAATGGATTGACAGGAAATGACTATTAGCTGTACGTGGCCATGTGTTGTGAAATAGTGAATACTAGTTAAAACTCCTCATTTTATAGATAAGAAACAGATAGACAGACGTGTCCAACTTCATGCTAATAACCACAGAGGGCTATTTTTATCTTATGAAGGTACAGTGCCTCTGATCCTATAGCTCAGAGTCTTAGCTGCACAAAAGACATACCTGGGGCTGGGCATGGTGGCTCACGCCTATAATCCCAGCACTTTGGGAGGCCGAGGCGGGTAGATCACAAGGTCAGGAGATCGAGACCATCCTGCCTAACACAGTGAAACCGTCTCTACTAAAAATACAAAAAATTAGCCGGGCGTGGTAGCGGGCGCCTGTAGTCCCAGCTACTTGGGAGGCTGAGGCAGGAGAATGGCATTAACCCAGGAGGTGGAGCTTGCAGTGAGCCGAGATGATGCCACTGCACTCCAGTCTGGGAGACACAGCGAGACTCCATCCCAAAAAAAAAAAAAAAAAAAAAGACATACCTGGGATACAGAAATCAATATTGGCATAATGTGCACATCCTGACATTTCAGTTGGATATAAACAAAACTTTGGAATTTTTCATTATAAGTGGGTGATTTTTTTCCTATTTTTTTCTTCTGGTAACTATGGGACAATGATTTGGAGATTCCTTATAAGGTATAACTTTTTTGTATTATAACTGCTTCAACAATGGATGTATCCATTGATCCTACTTTTGCTTTATAGGAGATAGAATTGGGTTAGTGCTTCCATTTTGCATCCAAGTAAAGAAGCTGGGAAACTTATAGAGTACAAAAAGAAATTGAAACAGCTGGTACAGATATTTGGCATTGGAGAGCAGCTCTGAACTAAGGTGAATTATAGTCCAGTCGTCAATTTTGTGGCCTATTCTTTACAAAGAATTGAACCTGATACAGTTAACCATCTTCCCCAAACTATTATGTGTTTAAAACACAATCTGTCAGCCAGGCACGGTGGCTCATGCTTGTAATCCTAGCACATTGGGAAGCTGAGGCGGGTGGATCATGAGGTCATGAGATCGAGACAATCCTGGCTAACATGGTGAAACCTTGTCTCTACTAAAAATACAAAAAGTAGCCAGGCGTGGTGGTACGCACCTGTAATCCCAGCTACTTCAGGAGGCTGAGGCAGGAGAATCGCTTGAACCCGGGAGGCAGAGGTTGCAGTGAGCTGAGATCATGCCACTAAACTACTACACTCCCAGCCTGGGCGACAGAGCAAGACTCCATCTCAAAAAAAAAAAAAAACAAAAAAAAACCACAATCTGTCAAACTGTTTAAAACAGTTTGTCAAAAAAGTAGTTACCCTTGTTGGGTACTGGCTGGAATTGGGCAGAAAGGGGGCTTGTTGGGGTACTGTTCTGTTTCTTGATCTGTTAACCTGATTACATAAAGGTTCTTGGTTTGTAAAAATTTATTAAGTGGTTCACTGATGATTTGTGTACTTTTTTTTAAATATGTGAATACTGCAGTAAGGTTTTTTATTGCACTGTTTTCAGTTTGTTGAACAGAAAAAGGGAGACTCTTTTTGTTGTTTGATCTCTCGACCTCATAATGGCAATGTGGGCAAGAACACTTCCCTAATCAATACCTGTGGGTGCCTTGGCTACATTCCACCGGAAACAAAAACAGATAGAGGCTCTCCATAAAAAATATCTTTGAAGACCTGTGAAACTTTAATAGTGCCTTTTATTCCATATAGGACAGCACAATTACCTATGTGCTGGAAGGAATGATTGCATCATCGATAAAATTCGAAGAAAAAACTGCCCAGCATGCCGCTATCGAAAATGTCTTCAGGCTGGAATGAACCTGGAAGGTAAATATCTGAAAGCAATTGTTTGTCTCTGTAGCTTATAAAAATTTATCATTTTACTTTTGAAGATACAAGTAAGCAGATGTAATAATGTAGTCAGTTCAGTATATATATGCTTGACTAGCATAATGTTACTGCCCAATAAAAATGGGAACTTTTTTTCATGAGTGTGTCATATTCTGTTTATCCACTAGTTCTTACACACACTGAATTCAGTACAGCCAGACTATATACGAAGAAAGGAAATTATGTAATAATGAAACTTATACAACATGCAGTAACTTTATTATTCTTACTCCTTTTTTCAACCTCAAAACTGTTCCCTAAGGTTGGGAATGTTTCTGTGTCATACATATTTACATGTCCATTTTTCTGTTTGCCTTTTAAAAGCACACCTTTTACTTGGAGATCTATGTTTTTTTACAGATCTTCAAAGGGGGTGTGGGGGAAAAAAACCTCAAGGAAGAACTGGATGGGTTTTGTTTTGGTTTTCAAGTAAAGAAGAAACCTGGGCCGGGCGCAGTGGCTCACACCTGTAATCCCAGCACTTTGGGAGACCAAGGCAGGCAGATCATGAGGTCGAGAGATCGAGACCATCCTGGCTAACATGGTGAAACCTTGTCTCTACTAAAAATACAAAAATTAGCTGGGCATGGTGGTGTGCACCTGTAATCCCAGCTACTCAGGAGGCTGAGGCAGGAGAATTGCTTGAACCCGGGAGGCAGAGGTTGCAGTGAGCCAAGATCATGTCATTGCACTCCAGCTTGGCAACAGAGCAAGACTCTGTCCCAGGGGGAGGAAAAAAAAAAGAAACCTGAAACTAGTTATAAGTTAGAGTTTCATATCCCTGTTTATATAACAAGTTGTATAATTAACACTGATCTCAGCATTAAAAAATTTTCCTCTGAAAAAAGTTTGGAATTCTGCTGTGGTTGAAATTGCAAGTTCTGTGAAGGTAGTGTGATCTAATAACACATATGCTTAGTATTTATTGTGAGATTAGCACTTTTATTCAACAAATACGCACCAGCGAGGCAGTAACTAGATATAAAATGAGTAAAATGGTGCCTGTATTCAAGCAGTTTACTGGCTAGTTAGGTTGCAGAATCAGTCACAAAATAGCATGGCACACCATAGAGAGCATAAGGCCACAGGAACAAGAGGAAGGTCACCTAGTTCCTTGGAAGTCGAGGAAGAAGTAACATTGAATTTTAAATCTACCAGCTGAGTAGGAATTAGATAGATGAAAAATAAGGGCAGAGACATGATCAGATTTATATTTTACAAAGACTGATCTTACATGGAGAGACCAATTAAATGAATATGGCAGTCCTCCAGATAAGAGATGGCAGGCAGTACTGAGAGAGAATGGAAACCATGTGGTTCTTTTTATGATTATGATGATTATTATTATTTTAGAGACAGAGTCTAACTCTTGTCACCCAGGCTGGAGTGCAGTGGCATGAACATGGCTCACTGCAGCCTTGAACTCCTCAGACTCAAGCCATCTTCCCACCCCATAGGGTTACAGATGTACACTACCACACCCAGCTGATTATTTTTTTAATTTTTTTTTTAGTTTTTTGTAGAGACAAAGGAGTCTTGCTATGTTGCCCAGGCTGGTGTCTAACTCCTGGCCTTAAGTGATCCTCCCAATGTGGCCTCCCAAAGTGCTGGGATTATAGGTGTGAGCCACTGCAACTGACCTATGTGGTTCTTTTGATGGGAGAGACTAATTGTTGGTGCTATCTAGCACACACTGTGTATGTACATCTTGGTAAACAGAAAATAGATTTATGGGTATGACTATGAAGAGTCTAATTCCCCAAACCACACACACAACTCTATCTAGGTTTGCCCAGGCTATTTAAACTTAACTGCAGAGTGTCAGCATGTTAAACATTGATTTACATAAAATGATAACTGCCCACTTTCTTGTAAATGTTATAAAAACTGCAGAGATTAACTAAAAAATGCACACAGAAGTTTGCTTTCAGTTCCCCAAGGGTAGTTTATTTTTGTTATAAATACAGTATTCCCCACTTTTTTAGATACCAGATCTCTGTCCAGATTTTACCAGTTTCATCTTGCTGCTTTCTAATCTCCTATGTATGTAATATACTTTGACCATTTAAATATATATTAAGACACTTGAGTTTTTAGTGCCCTTTGGGTTATTTTCTCTGGTCCCAATTTTCTCTAATATTCATTTTTTCATTTTAGCTATTTTATATTTAGAAATAGATTTTGAATGAAGCTCAAAGGACAAACCCAAATAAAATTTTGTAGTACCTCTAATATATTGTGGTTGCTTACCCAGTAACATTTTTAGATACTTTTCTGAATACATGTGAAGTTTAAGGTCTTTGGAGCTTTAAGCATATAATGTTTTTCTGGGCAATTTCTCCCTATCCAAACTACAAGGAACTTCTTTCATCAAAACAAAAAAGATACATCAACTACAAAGTAATGATTTTGATGGACTAGGCTATGAAATTTGTCTGTTTTTTCCTCCCTCTTACAGTTTAATAGCAATTGCAGTGCCCTTTGCCCTTAGTGCACTAGAAGACGACCCAAGGCAATGACTGACATCTGATTTTTCTATTAATTATGCCATCACTGTCATTTCCAGTTGAATCTTTTGTTGGACATCAGAAATTTTTCTTACATGAATAAAATTTAAGCATACAATTTAGGCTGCAGTTTCTCAAAATACTATATTAAAAATAACCAATTATATGCTCTTATAAATTGTCAGTATAACATATCCAGTTAGTGTAGAAATTGGCATTTGTTAAAAACTACTACATGTTAGTCTTTGACACACATTCTTCTACTTTTTGGACCCTCATATTATTAAAAACACCTTTGAGTAGGGCCATGATTTACTTTATATCCATTTTTATACTACGTAGTAGAAGAAAATTCTAGCCTGTTATTTCATACTATGATATGTATTGTGTGACACATATCATATAGTTGATCCAGTTCTACTTGTAGATGAATTGAAAGAACGGCTTAAAAAAGTTCTTAGGGTTTGTGTGTGTGGTTTTACTGTAAAAGTATCATTTTTGTATTAAACTAACCCCAGTATACATAAAATCTGTATTTGGCCTGGCATGTATGTTTGCCAGGAATCTTTGGCAGACCCTAAAACTTACAATATAGATGAGCCATGTGTTTCACACCTTTTTTTTTTTTTTTTACAACCTTCAGAAATATTCTCTTGTTCATCAGAGTGCTTCCCCTAAGCCAAGAAGTTTCGATGATAGCCCCAGAGTAACTTTGCCCAAGTCTCTTCATAAATGTAACTTAGGACTGCAAGTGGTGTATTTTTATACTCTTGCCCCATACCAAGTAAATCTCAAGATTTATTTTAAGGGAGTGGCCTTCACTGCTTCAAGTGTCTAGCATTTAAGAACGGATAAGATTTTTAATGGTGATCCTAATTTTTTTTTTAACTTGCTTGTTTTCTCTTGTAACTAAGTGTTTTTATTCATTTCATTTTGAGGTATATGGTAATCAATCCAAAGTATGGCTTTGTTTTTAGTATAAACAGTCAAATGAAACTTACAGTCTTAGGGCATTATCAGATTTATTACCAAATATTATTTAACTAATTTTTTTAAGTTAATAAACCCAATCTAGTAGTTTCTCTCTTATTTTCAACTTATATTTTAGATTCTGGGGGTACATGTACAGGTTTGTTACTAAGATACATTGTATGATGCTGGTATTTGGAGTACGATTGAACTTTTCATCCAGGAAGTAAGCACAGTACCTAACAGGTGCTTTTTAACATGTGCCTCCCTTCCTCTATCCCCTCTCTTTTATTTCCCAGTGTCTGTGCCCATCTTTATGTCTAGGTGTACTCCATGTTTAGCTCCCATTTATAAATGAGAACCCAGTATTTGGTTTTCTGCATTAGTTCATGTAGGATACTGGCCGCCTGCTACATCCATGTTGCTGCAAAGAACATGATTTCATTCTTTTTGTGTCTATATAGTATTCCATGGCATATAAATACCACATTTTCTTTATCCAGTGCACTGTTGATGGGCACCTGGGTTGGTTCCATGTCTTTGCTACTGCAAACCGTGCTGCAGTGAACATATGGGTACATGTGTCTTTTTGATAGAATGAATTATTTCTCTTTGGGTGTATGCCCAGCAATAGGATTGCTAGGTTGAATGGTAGTTAAACTCTTAATTCTTTGAAAAATCTCCAAACTTCTTTCCACAGTGGTGTCATTGTGGTTTTGACTTGCAGTTCTCTGATGATTAACAATCAGCATTTTTTCATATGTTTGTTGGCCACATGTATGTCTTTTTTTTTTTTTTTTTTTTTTTTTTTTTTGAGAAGTGTCTGCTCATGTCCTTTGCCCATTTTTAATGGAGTTGTTTTTGCTTGTTAATTTAAGTTCCATATAAACTCTGGATATTAGGGCTTTGTCAGATGCATAGTTAGCAAATATTTTCTCCCATTCTGTAGATTGTCTGTGATAGTTTCTCTTGCTTTGCAGAAACTCTTTAGTTTAATTAGGTCCCATTGTCAATTTTTGTTTTTGTTGCAGTTGCTTTTGGGGATTAGTCATAAATTCTTTCCCAAGGCCAATGTCGAGAAGGTTATTTCCTAGGTTTTCTTCTAGGATTTTCATAGTTAGTTTGAGGTCTTACATTTACATCTTTAATCCACCTTACTAATTTTTGTATGGCAATAGGTAGAGGTCCAGTTTCATTCGTCTGCACATGGATAGCCAGTTATCCCAGCACCATTAATGTAATAGGGAGTCGTTTTCCTATGGCTTATTTTTATCAACTTTGTGTAGATTAGATGGCTGTAGGTTTGTGTCTTTATTTCTGGACTCTATTCTGTACCATTGTGTGTGTTTTTTGTACTGGTACCATGCTGTTTTGGTTACTGTAGCCTGTAGTATAGTTTGATTTGGGGTAATGTGATGTTGCCAGCTTCGTTCTTTTTGCTTAGGATTGCTTCGGCCATTTGGGGCATTTTTTGGTTCCATATGAATTTTAGAATGCTTTTTGCTAGTTCTGTAAAAAATGACATTGTAGTTTGATAGGAATAGTACTGAATCTATAAATTGCTTTGGGTAGTATGACCATTTTAACTATACTGATTCTACCAGTCCATGAGCATGGAATGTTATTCCATTTGTTTGTGTCATCTCTGATTTCTTTCAGCAGTGTTTTGTAGTTCTCCTTGTAAAAATCTTAAACTAACTTAGATGCATTCCTAGGTATTTTACTCTTTTTTGACTGTTATAAATGGGATTGCATTCTTGATTTGGCTCTCAGCTTGAATATTACTGGTGTATAGAAATGCTACTGATTTTTGTACATTGATTTTAAATCCTGAACCTTTACCAAAGTTGTTTATCAGCTCCAGGAGCCTTTTGGCAGAGTCTTCAGGGTTTTCTAGGTATAGAATAGTAAGTGAAAAGAGATCGTTTGATTACTTCTTTTCCTATTTGGAAGACTTTAATTTCTTTCTCTTACCTGATTGTTCTGACTAGGATTTCCAGTACTATGTTAAATTGGAACGGTGACATTGGGCATCCTTGTCTTACTGCATTAAGGGGAACGCTTCCAGCTTTTGCCCATTTGGTATGATGTTGGCTGTAGGTTTGTCATAGAGGGCTCTTTCTTATTTTGAGGTATGTTCCTTTGATACCTAGTTTGGTGAAGGTTTTTATCATGAAGAGATGTTGGATTTTATCGCAACTTCTTCTGCATCTATTGAGATGATCTTTTTTTTGTTTGTTTATGTGGTGAATCACATTTATTGATTTGCGTATGTTGAACAAGCCTTGCATCCCAGAAATAAAGCCTACTTGATTGTGGTGAGTTAACTTTTTGATGTGCAGCTGGATTCAGTTTGCTAGTGTTTTGTTGAGGATTTTTATATCTGTGTTCATCAGGGATATTGGCCTGTAGTGGTGGTGGTGTTGGTGTTGTTGTTGTTGTGTCTCTACCAGGTTTTGGTATTAGAATGATGTTTCCCTTGTAGAATAAGTTAGGGATGAGGCCCTCTTTCTCGATTGCTTTTTTAGAATAGTTTTAGTAGGATTAGTACCAGCTCTTCTTTGTACATCTGGTAGAATCTGGCTGTGAATCCATCTGGTCAAGGGCTTTTTTCAGTTGGTGGGTTTTTTATTACTGATTCAATTTCAGAACTTGTTATTGGTCTGTTCAGAATTTCAATTTCTCCCTGGTTCAATCTAGGGAGGTTGTGTGTTTCCATTTCCACATATATACTTACTCCAAATAATGGCTTTATATATATGGGGATTAGCTGAAAACAAAAATGATACTTTCATAGTAAACTCCACCCCCGCCCCGACACACACGCATAAACCCTAAGATTTTTTAAAGCCTTTGTTCCAATTTATCCATTTCCTCTAGATTTTCTACTTTGTGTGCATAGCAGTGCTTGTAATGGTGTGAAGATCTTTTTTATTTCTGTGGAATCTCTTGTAATGTCATCTTTGACATTTCTTATTGTGTTTATTTGGGTCTTCACTCTTTTTTTCTTTGTTAATCTAGCTAGTGGTCTATCAGTCTTGTTTATCCTTTCAAGTAACCAACTTTTATAAACTAGGTTTTAAGCTAAGTAAGATTTCTCTACTTTTATTAAGGAGGAAGTAGCATTACCACAAACTCATGAACACTTCTGTGGAGCTCCTATATTGACTGCTAATCTTCTATATGCTCCAGTGGGTCAGGAGTTTATATAAAGTAAAGTTGCATTAACTAAGTTGCTTTAACATAGTGATTGCTTAACTAAATGATTCAGTTCAGTTAACTCCTTCCTGAAGATATTTTGAAAAATTAATTAGTATTATTTCTTGCTCCAGTCAGTACAGCACAATTGAGTTCACTTGTACTTTCTGAGCTGTATTCAAAAACATCAGTTTTCTCATTTAGGACTATATATAAGTAGTGAGAAATTAATTACAAACTGAGTCATAGAAAATGTTTTTGTTTAATCCAGCTTGTTACTCTTTCTTTCTTGTTCTAATGTGGAGTAATGCATTCTAAACCATTTAAAGTTATGACTAATTGAGGTTTTAACAGTACTGTTTCAGTGTATTGATTTGGCACATGTGTGTTCTCTTTTACATTGTCAACAGCACATTTTATGATTTGGATCAAGATTTCACTGGGATACTTCTGGTTGTTTAAAGAGTTTCTTTATGTATTGGTGTCCTTCCTTTTTAAACTTTTATCACTCCTCTATTAAGTTGCGATACCCAATTTAAAATATTCTAAAAACATGTTCTCCTGCAAGTTGAGGTAATGATAGTTGTTATATGGTAATTACTATAATATATACCAGGAACTCTTCTAAGCATTTTACATATTTAATTCTTACAGCAACCCTGTGAGGTAGGGACTAATATTATCCTCATTTTACAGAAGGGGAAATGAAGAGTCAGGGAGTTAACTTGCACAGATATCCAGCTACAACATGGCAGAACCAGGACTTAAATCCAAATATGCTGATTTCAGGTTTCTGCTCTTTAGTCCTGTATCATACCATGCCTCCAAGAGAGCATGGTAAACTAATTAGAATAGTTCTATCATGATTCTGTTTCTGTTCTGAAATATTAACTAAAAATTTTTGAATTTCTCAGTACCCCATTTATTATAGAACACAGTAAGAATGGAACCATTCTAACATTGGACATTGAGATATCGTTCCTACCACCATATCTGTCCTCCACAGACTATATGGTGTGTCATTTTAAGGACAGAGGATCTAAAAATGATTTTTAAAGGTGATTTACATTTACTCTTCCCTTTGCAAAATGGTTTGTATCCCTAATAATTTGAACAGGTACATTTCTTCTTTGATATAAATTACATTTCTTGCCTTTCCTTGGAGTTCTGAGTACTTTCCCTCTGAGAGAACAATGTAATTCTTATTTAGTCACTAAAACAAAAATAACTTCAGGAGTATGAATAAATCTACTAAAAAGTCTACAGGATCCATGTTGTAGTTTGATTAGATGGTTCCATACCAAGTCAAGGTAAAAGATAATTAATTTATATATAATAGGAAAATGGATGCTTTAGGTTTATAGAGTAATCAATATAAATCTTCCTTATAAAAGGGAAATTTCCCACTTATAATTTATGTGAAGTAAAGTTTTTCATTTCATCTTCCCATATGTTTTTAGTCCCAAGCAGTATTTATGTTAGTACCTATGTAAAGGTGAAAAGCGAATTTCTCTACTGGTACTACTAATACTATTTTTAGCATGTAATCTGCTATCATCTTCCTATCTTGATATGTGGCTTTGAACAAGTGTAAATAGTGTAATTCTCTTCATTGTATATACTACCATGATTTAGATTAATCTTAAACCATAGTTTGTAATCCGTTATTCCAAGCTTAGATTTTTTTTCAGTTTATAGTAAGAGTAATTTGCCTTACATAACCAATGAAATTGTTGCATTTAGAGTGAAAGTGAGACAAACAAATAATTTATAGAAGAATTTACAAAAGTGATTTACTCCGATTGTTTTAACATACCGTTATAATACTTTGTATAAGGAATAACTATAATGAAGTTTCTGGCCTATTTGTAGGCAAAATTAATTGGGAATAGGTTCCTCTGGATCCTTTGCTTTCAGAAAAAAAAAGTTTTTTTTCTCCTCTTCCATGTCACTTTATCATAATTGCTAAATAAAATATTTCTCCCATCTTAATAGTTTTAGAAAGTAAAAATACTTCTTGAATAAACTATGTAGCGCAGACCTTCCCATTACAGTTCATTTCTATGTATTTTTCAAAATATCCACAGCTCGAAAAACAAAGAAAAAAATAAAAGGAATTCAGCAGGCCACTACAGGAGTCTCACAAGAAACCTCTGAAAATCCTGCTAACAAAACAATAGTTCCTGCAACGTTACCACAACTCACCCCTACCCTGGTGTCACTGTTGGAGGTTATTGAACCTGAAGTGTTATATGCAGGATATGATAGCTCTGTTCCAGACTCAACTTGGAGGATCATGACCACGCTCAACATGTTAGGAGGGCGGCAAGTGATTGCAGCAGTGAAATGGGCAAAAGCGATACCAGGTAAGATGCAAAAGATAAAAGAGCAACTATATAAACCTTTGTGTTTTCTTCAGCAAAAACATTTTGGCTTTTATATCATCCTGAACCCGTGGCTTATCTTCTTTCTCTTACTAGTTCTGGGGACTATGAAGGGGAGAGTCAGGTGAATACAGGTGATAGGGAGTTTATAATAAAACATTTACATTACTCCCTGCTTTTCAAATCACTATGCACAGGATGGTAATTTCACATAGGATGATTTAATATCAGAACTCGAGTTACAAGACTCACTCAAAACTCCTTTGACACTGAAGTTTGGGGAAAGAAAATGTTTTTAGTTAATTCCGTTTGTTTTCCTTCATTGTGCCACTTTTAAAAATTAGGTTGTTTGTAAGATTGGTAAACATCAAGTATGTTGACTCAAAATTTGTACTAAAGTAGAATGATTTTAACCCTTCACTAAATGAAATACTACACATTGATTGTAATTTTAAAGACAATTTTAAATAAAAGTTTCCCTATTGGAATTTGGTGTGGAACAGCAGAGGTCAGTGTTAGTGTCAGCTCTGACTTTAAAGACAGAGGGAATTGACAAGCCTGTGTTCACGCAAATAGTGAGGGACAGAACAAGAAAGTAACCTGACCTCCTGTCATCCTTGTTTTAGTAAGGGGGGAAGAGGTGTGAATAGCAGGGCAAATGTTTTACTTACTGATTAATACCTCAAGCCAAGATTCTCTTTTTTAAAATCGATACATAATAGTTGTACATATTTACTGTACATATGTATATTTAGGGGGTACATGTAATAATTTGATAAAAGCACACAACATGTAAGGATCAAATCAGAGTAACTGGGATATGCATCACCTCAAACATTTGTTTGGGGAACATTCCAAATCTTCTCTTTTAGCTATTTTGAAATATACAGTAAATTATTGTTAACTATAGTCATCCTATTGTGCTACTGAACACTAAAACTTATTTCTATTAACTATTTTTGCACCCATCAACAAATCCCCCTTCATCCCCGTCACACTGGTAATCGCCAAGCCAAGAATTTTGGCTTAAATTTTACTATTTAGTTCATGTTTACTTAAGCAGACAAAGGTGACAAAACTGGCTACTTTTTTTTTTTCCACATTGAAAGCTATTAGAAAGCACAGAGGGAGCTGGGTGTGATGGCTCACGCCTGTAATCCCAGCACTTTGGGAGGCCCAGGTGGGTGGATCACTTGAGGTCAGGAGTTCAAGACCAGCCTGGCCAGCATAGCAAAACCCTATCCCTCTACTAAAAATATAAAAATTGGCCAGGCATGGTGGTATGCACCTGTATTCCCGACTACCTGGGAGGCTGGCACTGAAAATCATTTAAACCCAGGAAGCAGAGGTTGCAGTGAGCCAAGATGGCACCATTGCACTCCAGCCTGGGCGACAGAGCGAGACTCTGTCTCAAAAAAAAGAAAAAAGAAAAAAAGCACAGAGGGTTTGAGTCTTGAAGTGTCAGATGACAGAGGAAAACTGTGTCTACCTAGTATTTAATTTCCATTTTCTGTTAGGGGTCCCCTTGTTTTGACAGGGCTAATTGATCTCATTGCTCTTTGGCAATTCCCACAGAGATGATGATCTTAGAAAATTGCCTCATACCTTTATTTCTCTTAATTCAGGTTTCAGGAACTTACACCTGGATGACCAAATGACCCTACTGCAATACTCCTGGATGTTTCTTATGGCATTTGCCCTGGGGTGGAGATCATATAGACAATCAAGTGCAAACCTGCTGTGTTTTGCTCCTGATCTGATTATTAATGAGTAAGTTGTATGTGAGTCATTTTCCCTGTATTCATAGGGTATTTTTAACCAGCTGATGTTTTCCTGATTGACTGCTATTGTGATAATTCAGGACTGAAACAATCCTACTAGGTATCTAGGATGTAGGCAAACTGGAAATAGAGTTATGAGTGCTTGGGGCAGGACAAGTGTAATGTAGAGCAAATGTACATATGGCATTATTACTGTCCCAGGACATGTTTAAGGATATTTAACAGATCTCTGAGATTAGTAAAGTCTGTCGCAAGCAACAAGGAATCTTACTGTGCTATTATTTACATAAGGCTATTCCAGAAAGAGAAAGGAGCATGATAAAACTCGTGTGGATTCAGTGGGGACAACTGTAGATGAGGATATCTAGGCTGATGGGGTGGGACATATGGACCCAGACACAAGAGGTGTCTGTTTGCATGGCAGGTGTCTATGGTTTAAATATGGAAACAAGTTTGTTTTGTTTAACTGAGAGAAGAACAAGCCTTGAAGATTTTATAAATCAGCTATTCTCTTATCCTCTAGGCTTATTCCTGTATCTGTGAAATATGTCAGGTGTCCATTTCCCCTTACCTCATTGCAGTTGTTTCCTCACTCGTTTTCTCCCTCCAGTGTGATGTACATCATTAACATTAAGGATATTTAATAGCATCTCTGACAAGGTAGAAAGTGAGAAGAGCTAGGATGTGACTTCCGTGCTGTGTATCTGGTGATGTGAACACCAAGAGTCTAAGAGTCTAACAGCAACAGACTTTGCTAACCTCAGAGATGCTGTTAAATATCCTTAATGTTCAGCAAACATGAACGTTGGCCAATGTTTGCTTCCTCTAGCACAGTATGACTGCACCACCTATCTTCCCAGCACACAGACTGTCTTTAGTATCTTCCCACTGACCCTCCAATCCATACTCTGCATGATTTCAGGCTTCCCACAATCTGACCTCACTTCCTCTCCCATTGTTGTCCTTCACACACTCTTCGTTCCCATCCATTCTTTCAAGCATACTCTTAGACTCTTGGTGTTCACATCACCAGATACACAGCAGAGAAGTCACATTCTAGCTCTTCTCACTTTCCACCTTATATTACTACTTTTCATACCCCTAGCTTATTGCTATTAGTACAGTATAAACAGGGAGTTCACACACACATACCCCGGCCTAAGAAGAATAAAAAATGAAGGAGATTTGTGTTTGTATAGAAAACGGAAGACACCTTGACTTTTATTGCCAAAAAGAGGACTGTTCAAACTATTGAATCACAATGTAACAAGATTAGGTAGTTGGATCCAATTTTAAATTAACTGGTAAATATATTTAGTCTCTGGGGAAACTGAAGACATTACTCATCAGAATCCTACCATGCCGTTTAAAAAATACCATGTTGGCAGTATTTATTTTTTAGTCACTTTCTAATATGTAATTTGAAGGCATTTAAGTGGAATTAAAAGCATAAACAGATTTATATGAAACACCAACTTATCCTTCTGGTTTACAAAACCTAATTTAGGGTTTTTACTATTAAGGCATTCAGATTTAGCTTTAAGCAGTCACAGCATAATCTAATCATGCCACATACATTCCTTATGTAAAGTGGGATTTATAAATTTTTTTTCCTCAACAGATTTATATTAGTTTCATTTTCATTAAGGGATATGTACTTCCCATTCTTGTGTTCTCATGCTGCTGCATACAAGATGGGCAGTCCTTCACCTTTTTCTTTTCTTTCTTTTTTTTTTGAGACGAGATTCACTTGTCACCCAGGCCCAAGTGCAGTGGTGTGATCTGGCAACCTCCACCTCCTGGGTTCAAGTGATTCTCTGCCTCGGCCTCCCAAATAGCTGGGATTACAGGTGCACTCCACCACACTCGGCTAATTTTTTGCATTTTTGTAGAGATGGGGTTTTGCCATATTGGCCAGGCTGGTCTTGAACTCCTGACCTCAAGTGATCCTCCCACTTTGGCATCCCAAAGTGCTGGGATTACATGTGTGAGCCGCCGCACCCAGCCCTCCACCCTTTCTTAGCCCACTATGTTTCCATACTGCTCTGGTGTCTGTGACAGGCAGATTTTGCATATCAGAAAGTAAGCATTCAAGTTCTGACCCTCTATAGAGCTGTAAAACCGTCACTCATGGTTGCCCTTAGGTCAGAACGTTGTGGAAAAAAAATTTTTGTTGTTTTTACAGTCAACAAGAATGAGTTTTTACTTATTCTACTACACTACAATTTTATTGAAATTTTCAGTTATATGAATGTAACCATGTACAAGAAACTAAAGGAAAAAAGGTGCCTCCCAAAAAAGGAGTGTTTTACCTACTATTAAGGACTGGGGAGGTGCCTCTTTGGTAAGAGCAGATTTAAAATTTGAAGAGCCTGTGATCACTTTGGCAGCATGTAATTCATGTCTGATTTGTTTTATATAAAAGAATAAGCCACATATTTAGTGGAGAAAAATGATAACCTTTTTATTGTTAAGTCCAAGATGACTTTCTGTCAGAAACTTAAAAAAAAAAATCTTGAAGCATTTTAAAAGCTGTGAACTGAGCCCAGTTTCAGGCTTTTAGTGTCATTTCAGAAGTCAGGAAACTTTAGAGATCTATTTGAAAATCATAGGTGTGTAATGACTTCAGAATCATAAGCAAGAATTGGTTTAGTACCTTTAGTTTAAAGAATATTAAGGCATATGTATGTCAGAGGCAGATTTTGAGCATCAGAAGTCTAGAATCAAGTTCTAGGTCTGGCCCTCTACATAACTGTGAACAGTGTCACACATTTTTGTCTTTAGGATGGAATGTTGTGAAAAAATTTACCTTTAAAAATCAAGTGTGTAGGACCTAAAATTGTGTTGTCTAATTGACCATATTCAAGTGATAAACCTTGATTTAAATGAGCAACTGGTAATAAGTTCTATAAGAATTCTAACACATTAATTAAATAATAATACGTGGCATGCATGGTAGAAAATAATGTCTCCACTGTTACGTTAGATTATTCATTAGTCTCTTTAAACAGCCAAGATGCAGGAAGAAGTTTAAGGGAAGTTCTCCAAAATTCTGATTTTATAGGGAATTAGCAATAATATTATTGCAATAGTTGTTTTTCATTATAAGTTCATAGTTTTGCAAAACAAAACAGAAATGTACTTTTTTGGGAGAAGTAGCATTATTTCTAACTAATACCCTGCTATTTATCTTTCACAGGCAGAGAATGACTCTACCCTGCATGTACGACCAATGTAAACACATGCTGTATGTTTCCTCTGAGTTACACAGGCTTCAGGTATCTTATGAAGAATATCTCTGTATGAAAACCTTACTGCTTCTCTCTTCAGGTTGGTAGAACACCTTTTCACTTTATGTCAAAAGCATGAAATATGAAAGTCTAGAAACAAAGGTTAATTTGTATACACAGTACTAATAATTATACCAAGTCTACTATTATTTCCTACTAGTCAGATGATTTTTATGAACGTAAAATACTAGAAAGGCACAGTAAGTGATACCAAGATTAATAAGACAAATAGGTATAGCAGAAACAGAGAGGTATATGAGCCGCATAGGGATCTCTGTTGATAGGAATCTGTGTGGACGTTTTTCTCCTTCCTTCCTCATGGGAAGACATGGAAAAAGAAAGCTGACTACAGTGATTTTGTGTACTATACTGTTACTTGGTTAAAGATTTTAGTTACCTAATGAGTATTAGCATATATAAGAAATTATGGGAGAAAAAGACGCATCCTAGAAAAGGTGTGCTTAATTACTATTGGGAATTGGTTAACATAGCATTGGAACTGGATTGTCAGACAGAGATTCACTATCTAGAAAATGGCAACAAGAGTTTATAAAACAAACTTCTGTGAGATTACTTTTTAGCTAGCAAAGACAAAGATGTCAAAGTGATAAATAAACTACGATACATCCAGATGATGGAATACTATTGAGAACTAAAAAGAAATGAGCTATCAAGCCATGAAAACACATGGAGGAACGTTAAATGCATACTACTAAGTGAAAAAAAGCTAATCTGAAAGGGCTACATACTGTGTGATTCCAACCATATAACATTCCATAAAAGGCAAAACGTGAAGACAGAAAAAAAAAAAAAAAAAAAAAAAATCAGTGGTTGCCAGGGTTTAGAAGGGAGGGAGGGATAAATGTGCAGAGCACAGAGAATTTTTAGGGCAGTGAAAATACTTTGTATGCTACTATAATGGTGGAAACATGTCATTATGCATTTGTCCAAACCCGAAGAATGTCCACCACTAAGAGTGAACCCTCAACTATGGACTTTGGGTGGTAATGTGTGGGACAGGAGGTATATGAAAAATGTCTGTACCTTCCTCCCAATTTTGCTGTGAACTTAAAACTGCTCTAAAAATGTCTTTTTTTAAAAAAGCTCTATGAACTAGTTGGTATTATAAACCTTAGGCCATTTCCAGTAAAAGTTACATATCAATGTTTATTAAATACTGAGTTAATAGCTGAATACGTCTTTCACATACAAATACGTACATTTGCAGTTTTTAAAAGTCTTAATTCCATTAGTAACTGTGGTTTCATAGTTGCCAAATAACTGTAAGCTATGGATGTTGCACAAGACTATGACTTTAACCATTTCGTATCTATTTAAAGATTTCCAAAGCACACATTTGTCTTAATGCTTTCACACTATTTTTGCTCAACAAAAAGTTATTTTATGTTAATGGATATAAGTATTAATAATGTTTCAGTCAAGGCAAGAGAACCTGGTAAAGATCATTGCTAGAGACATGTTTAATGTTACCTGTAGCAGTACACTTGTTAAAGAAGTGATTAAGCAGTTACATAAAATTCTGATCATAACTTTGATTGATACCATGAAGGTATAATTCAGTGCCTAGATACTAACAACCTTATTTGTTTAAAAAAAAAAAAAAAAGTGGTTTCACTTGCATACATCCCAGACTAACTGAGCTGTATGATTTTTTTCATTGTAAATAATAAGAAAAAGTAAATTGGCCTAGTACATATCACAAGTTCTTCTTTTTAAAAAATAATAGAAATATAAGGATGGAAATATATACCTTAAGATATAGACTTCTACTATGATAGACTACTGGAATAGGTACTATAACCTCCCACCAAAAATGCTAGACTAAAACAATTAAGAACTAAGTGAAGGCAGGAACCCACAGAGGTAAGTGGAACTCAAGCCAACTTGCTCTTTGAGGGCATTTGTACAACCTGGTTAAAAATTAGTTTAGTAAGTTGGAGTTTTTTTAAGTTTAATTTCAATAGGATTTTGGGGGAACAGGTAGTGTTAGGTTACATGAATAAGTTCTTTAGTGGTGATTTCTGGAATTTTGGTGCACCCATCACCCGAGCAGTATACACTGTACCCAATGTGTAGTCTTTCATCCCTCACTCCCCTCCCCAACCCCAGTCCCCAAAGTCCATTATATCATTCTCATGCCTTTGCATCTTCATAGTTTAGTTCCCACTTATAAGTGAGAATATGCAATATTTGGTTTTCCATTCCTAAGTTACTTCACTTATAATAATGGTTTCCAGTTCCATCCAGGTTGCTGCAAATGCCATTATTTTTTTCCTTTTTGTGGCTGAGTAGTAGTCCATGGTATATATATACCACATTTTCTTTATCCACTCAGTGATTGATGGGCATTTGGGCTGGTTCTGTATATTTAGTAAGGTTAAAAACAAGAGATGGAAATATAAATGCAGTTTAAAAGGCAAGTGGATTGGTCTAAAAACAGATTGGACACATTTGAAGAAACACTTGAAATATATATCTGAAAAAATCAGCCAGAATACAATTGTTTTTAATGATTGTGTATATGTTTGTGTATATAAACCACAAGGGAGATCTGTAGGTACTGAAAATCACAACTGGAAAATGGCAACAAAGCTATAGAAACTGGAAAAACAATGACTTTTCTTAGATCCCTCAGAGAATGGAGGTCATAGGACAAACCACCACCTCAAAATTTAGAACAGACAAATACAGAGAAACAGCCAAGATCAGCTTACTGGGGAAAGATGCCACTGAAGGCAGGAAGACTAGGCAATTTTGATGAATTGCTGGAGGCTGAGCAAGGACTAGTTTCAGAGTTAAAAACTCCCAGGGACCCAGTCTTAGTGGGGGTTTCCTGCAATTTCTTGGGTTTACCCCACAGAATTTCTAACTTCCAGAAACTCCACAAGATTCTTAGGGTGAAGAATTCCCTCCTTTTTCTGATAGAAGTAGGGGGAAGGTAAAAATTGGAAATATGTAGGAGAGTGTTCACAACAAAGGCCTGCACTGTAAGGAAAACTAATTCAACAGACCCTAATGTGACCTGGGGGGAAGGCAAATTGAGGATTCTGGCCCTGTCTTAGCCTTCTTGTCTCATTTCTGAAAATCACAGCCCAGGGTTTCAGACCCACTAAAAACAACTGAGATTTAATCATATAGATTATAAAATACTTCACCTCCCCCTCCCCAACACCTTACCACCATATAAACAGGGCTCCAGGATAAAATAACAGTGGATTACAACTGAGAGAGCTGCAGGACACAAGCTGTTTAAGGAGTTCTTAGGAAACCCAAAGACAACCGAAGAAAAAGTAAATAAAAACAAGGAAACTAGAGGAAACTGAAGCCTCTAGTACCTACAACTACAGCAAACATTAAATACAGCCTACCTCCTAGCCAGATTAGCATGAAACCTCACACTAAAAGTCAAATTACTTCAGTTTTGATATATCGTGTCCAGCTTTCAACAAAAAACCATAAGGCATGCTAAAATGCAAGAAAAAACCCACAGTCTGAAGAGACAAAACAAGCGTCAGAAGCAGTCCTCAGATATGACACAATATTTCAGTTATCAGATAGGGAATTTACAATACCTATGATTAGTAGGTTAAAGGCTCCAGTGGAAAAAGTAGACAACATGCAAGAAGTGATGTATGCAGAGAGATGGAAACTCTAAAAATAAATTGTAAGGAATGCTGTAAGGAAATGCAGAATGATGTTGATGGGCTCATCAGTAGACTGAGCACAGCCAAGCAAAGAGTCACTGAGCTTGAAGATAGGTCAAAGGAAACTCCCCCAAACTCAAATGCAATATGCTGAATCGAAAACAGTTATAAACATGGTAGACATTAATCCAGCTATATCAGTAATTACTGTAAATTTGAATGTTCTAAGTACACCAATCACCTATTTTTTAACTAGGAGGTGAAAATAAAGTTTGCCACCAGATGGTCACTAAAAAATTATTAGAGGGTATACTTAGGCTAAAGAAAAATAATCCTGGCCAGGAGTGGTGGCTCTCACCTGTAATCCCAACACTTTGGGAGGCTGAGGCAGGCGGATCACAGGGTCAAGAGATCAAGACCATCCTGGCTGACGTGGTAAAACCCCATCTCAACTAAAAATACAAAAATTAGCTGGGGATGGTAGTGTATGCCTGTAGTCCCAGCTACTCAGTAGGCTGAGGCAGGAGAATCGCTTGAACCTGGGACATGGAGGTTGCAGAGAGCCAAGATCGCGCCACTGCACTCCAGCCTGGTGACAGAGCGAGACTCCATCTCAGAAAAAGATAAATAAAAGTAATCCCATCTTTAAGAAGGACTGAAGAATAAGGAAAGTGGTAAATAATGTAGATACATTTAAACTGACATTTGCTGTGTATATAAAATAACAGTAACAATTTGCTTGAGGGTTAAAAAACTTAGAACTAAAGTATGTTTAAGTTTCATGGATGACAACTAGAAATAAGGTATGCAGGGTATGCAAAGTACCAAACCATCAGGGGAAGAGAATACCTAAGAAAAACAATTCAAAAGAATGAAAGATGTGAGAGGAGGGAGAAAAATGCATAACAAGGGCATGAAAACAGGAAGTAACAGATAAGGTACAGTAGTACAGCTAAATTCAAACACAGCAGTACTTTCATTAAATGTAGAGATGGGGCCAGGTGCAGTGGCTCACACCTGTAATCCCAGCACTTTGGGAGGCTGAGGTGGGCAGATCACTTGAGGTGAGGAGTTCGAGACCAGCCTGACCAACATGGCGAAACCCCGACTCTACTAAAAATATAAAAAGTTAGCCAGGTATGGTGGTGCATGCCTGTTATCCCAGCTACTCGGGAGGCTGAGGCAAAAGAATCATTTGAACCTGGGAGGCAGAGGTTGCAGTAAGCCAAGATCGTGCCACTGCTCTCCAGCCTGGGTGAGAGAGGAACACTGTCTCAAAAATAAAATAAATGTAGAGATGGACTGAATGCTCCAAGCTAATCTGACAGGATTTTAGAAATAATCCAAATTTATGCTATTTAAAAGGGCTATAGCT